GATGGTAAATGCTTCATTTCCCAACATGACATTCTTACTTCTAATCTCACCAAGAACACACTGAATTTTGAGTGAGTTCTGTGGTCATTTTCAATGGGGTTTGAGCTGTGTAGTGTTAAAGTCAAATGCATTAAATTCTTGTTCATTTATTTTCTTGCAGACAAAAGTAAAGCTTGTGAGAGATTCAGAATATGCTTTTAAAGCTCAAACTGGCCTGTGCCATTATTTTGACCGCACAGATTTTGGAGTTTCAATAACAGGGTTTGCTGCGTACGACTTCAGGTAGCTACTATTGATTATTTTTATTTGCTGTACTTTTCCTTCTGTGTTCAGTCACTGTGGAGTAAGCTAGAGCCAGTAGTGCATTGACCAGCCAAAGGTTATGAGGTTGATTGCATCAGTTCTATAGCTGTGTACTGAGTAAGAATTAATACCTAACATTTTTGAGATTAAGGCTTGCCACAATGAATCCAGTGAGCCCTGCCATCACTAAGCCTGTTCAAATTAGAAAGCTTAAGTCAGTGTCTTGAAATTAGGTCTTTTAAATCCACTGTGCTTCAACTGGAACATTGAGTCAGTTACAATTTTTCCTATATGCTAAGTGACCATTACACCTCTTAAGTATTAGAAATGGTAAATCCCACCAGTAGTAATTGGAATTTGTTGAAAAAATAGAGAAGCATTCGGTTACTTTGGTATTCATACGTTTACCTATCCACCTGTATCCTCCTCCGGTCCATGACTTTTTGAACAGTGTTGCCAACTGAATTTTGTAAAGATAACTAGTAGATGTTTAGGTTTCTGTACCAAGAAACCTACTTCTTTTGAATAGCATCATATCTTTGGATCTGCACCTTTTCCATAATTTGTGTGCCCTATGTTTGTATTACAGTGTTATAGTGTATGAAGTACGTAATTATTGATGTGTGTTATGTGAGGTGTAGAACCCAGAGGGAACAGTTTAATTATTTGATTTTTAAATCGTACTTAACAAGTAACTCTCAAATAATTTTAGTGACTTAGCATTATCACTCGCTTCTTTCACAGCGATCAAGAAGAAGAAATGATGAGGATGCTTGTTAACTGGGGCCCTCTGGCAGTAACAGTCGATGCGGTTAGCTGGCAGGATTACCTTGGTGGGATCATACAATATCACTGCTCCAGTGGAAGAGCAAATCATGCCGTTCTTATCACTGGTTTTGACAGAACAGGTGCGTTTCCATCAACTGAACTTCAACCCAGTAGGTTTTGTGGTTTTTCTTTTACTTGGAACTTACCTCCTGCAGGGCAAGTGATTAAAATCCAGATTTGGTCATTTTGTCGAGAGCTGTTTGGTGTGACATCGGTTCTGGAAGTGCAGTCTGATCTTGTCTGTGCCCCTTCAGTTCTGTGAGACTTCATGTCTAGTAAAGTCAAGAACATGGCTATGTGTCGTTATGCTAGCAGAGGACAGATCCAGTCTGTTCTGGAATATTAGCTCTGTCCTCTACGTGAATAACAGTAGGTTTCACTGTACTAGATCATCCTGAGACATTAAAATGGTAATTAACTCTAACAGAGTATTAGAAGCTTTTTATCCTTCCCAAATCTCATGTTGTCTCTTTTTAATGAAAATGTCTTTTCCAGGTAGTGTCCCTTACTGGATTGTACAGAACTCTTGGGGGCCTACTTGGGGAATAGATGGCTACGTTCATGTCAAGATAGGTGGTAATGTCTGTGGTAAGTCTGACAAAAATAATCAAAGTGGTAAAGGCCACACGCTGGGATGTTTCCCCACCTAAGTAAAACAATATAATGGGATCCTCAGAGAGGAAATACAAAGCATTGATACGTTTTAAAAAGAGGCTACATGAGTCCAGGTGGAAAAATAAATAAAGCAGTAGCTAGTTCAACAAAGCCATATAGTTTTGTGACTGAAAAACACCATTCAAAGGTAAAGCTATATAAAGCTATGTGTAACAAATAAAGTACTATTGTACCTTACCACGTAAAGGTAATAGCATTGTAAAGTATACAGCCATGTGTTGTGGTTCTAGGTTAGTGCCATTGCTGGACTCAGAGTAGTTAAAACTGCTGCTGTCGTTGTCTCATGGGTGCAATTACCACCAGCCACAGTAGCAAACAAGGAAAGTGGATCTGCCTGTGCTTGGGAATTGTGTACCCAGCTCATGGCTTTTCTTGTAGGATAGAGGTATATACTTTTAGTGCTGGTTCCATCTCCCACCCTCTTAGCATTTGCAAGAGATTTTCTTGGTGTTTGGGGGAGGATTTGGAGTGTTAAATACCCAATTTCTTCTGAGTTGCTGGAGTGCAGCAATACAAAAAGAATTGAGCATGAATAAAAACCTAGTTTCTTCTGTGTTTGTACATGTATGAGTGTTCAAAAACGTGCCTTGTAATGGTATTTGCAATCTCTGGTCTCTCGGTGGACTTTCAAAGCTGCATAGTTTCATATAGTTTATACATTGCTAATGCATATTTTTATTTAATTTGTAGGTATAGCAGATACAGTTTCATTAGTATTTGTTTGACGCTTGGCTGGCCAAAGACCACAGGTGTCATTTGGACACACACTGTCTATGAAGAGTACTTCAAAACAGCATTTTCTGAAACAAGAAATTGCTATAAGGGCAAGTCCTGCTTTTCGGCAGTAGAGAAGTTGGTCGACTGGAGTTTTTAAAACTGTTTTTATTTGAAGTGCATGTTGCACATCAAATCTGTCATGGAATAAGAAGACTCAGAGTCAGCTGCAGAGTACGTGAAAGGAAGATACCACGATGGACTGAAACTGCGAGTGTGAATGCAAGTCAGGTGTTGAATACTGCTCTGTAAAAAAAATCTTACAGGGACAGAAGTCATTACAAACAATATGGAATTTGGATCAAATAATCAATAGTAGGACAGAGTATAATTGAAATGCATTGAATGTAAGAACCATGATAAGGTCTACTTTTATTGGGCAGGGAGGACGGGCTGCTGGAAGAAAATATTCTGTTATTCTTTGATATGTGTCAGCTTTTCTAGCATCTACTTTTTCTCTAAAGTTAGAAGAATAGAGGAGAGAAATGAATAGTCCAAGGTTTTTCCTGAGCTCCCAATGTCTCTGAAGTGCTACACTTCTTCAGTTTCGGTCTGTAGACTTCTTTTTGTTGGCTAAATAATAACTAAAAAGCTCCTTAGAGCAGGAAGCATGTTTTGGAAAGTGCCTGAAATAGCAGAGTCTTCTGCGCTGTTTTGTTAGATAGACAGAAAAGTAAGAAGTAACTATTTAAACAAAGGAAGGCAGTTCTAGTGGTTTAACAGCCCCTGTGTCCTGGCAGGATGTAGGTGGCTGCAAATCAGCTTTTCTGTGCTCCGGGTTCCTTGCCTTCTCTCTTCTCCACTTCATAACTAACAGTGAAGCCGGTTGCAAAGCAGAAAAAAAAAAAAATAAAGCCACAACAAAAAAAAACCCACCCACATTTCTTATGGAAAAAATAGGGAGGGAGAGGCGTATTTGTGTGTATTTGCCACCTTTAGAAAGTCAGCAATTGCGGAATATGCCACGTAGAGCGGGTGTTAAATTTCCCCACAGTAATTGAATTCATCGGTGGGAGTCCTGAGAATCAAGAAGGGGTTCCAGCTTTGCTGACATGTAAAACTGCAGTTGCAGGTAAACATAACTAGAATTTACAACCAAATATAATTCTAAAAAGCCCTGAATCTGTTATATGGAATGCTTTACCTATATCTTTTAAGAAGCACTACTATGAAAAGCATTGAAGCGATTCTCTAGATTTTACACTCAGTTACTATATTATAACCTTTTTATGACAAATGCAATGGGCATTCATAATTGTCTATTTAAAGTATGGCCATTTTAGTCCTTCTAAGTGTTAATATTCTAAGTGAAGTGAAAACTTCATATTAACAAAGGCGAAGTCTTCTGCAGTGTGGCCTTCCCTCAGCAGTTTGCAGACAACAAGCAGCGCACTTGCATAACTGGAAAACAGCAGATGGAGTTTCTAGCTGGCTTTGGTAATGTTGTTATAGTAGTATCAAACACAGATGTTCTACAGGAGTTTCTGAGGTGGTACTACCAGGTGTAAGTACATAAAGTGCCAAGATACAGAGCAACTTGACAGAAATTAAGGCCTATAGCATATGTATGTTTCCAAGGCAAGCATTTAAAAAGATGAGGCTGTCTAATGAAAACACAGCACAACTTTACCAGTATTCTATGGCCAAATTTACCTCGCTTTTATATCAGTTTTATCCTTATTTTCATGATATTTTGAATAATAAAAAAACCCACTTAAATGTCTGTCATAGTCTTGTTTGAACTTTGTGCTTGATGTAGAAGACTTAACAACAGATGAACTTTAATACGGCTTTATTTGAAGTGCAACGTAAGTTCTTATTTATACCTGCTATTTTTAACAGTATTTCTACAGAATGGTTAGTGTAACACATAGCAATGTGATTCTTGATGTATATAAAACTTCAAGGCACTTGGGCTTCTATAGATTCAGGAGTTATTTTCTTAGATCTAGTTTGAAACTTCACCCAAAAGCCCTTTTAAAATTAGATTAGAGCTCAGAAACTAATATTCTTCTGAAGGTGATGAGACTAATTATATCCTCATCTAGCAGTAAATTAATTAACAGACACTGGGCAAAGAAGCAGATACAAAAGTATGTACAAATAAGGTGTGATCATGATAATTCTGTATAATTTGCTCCCTCTCTTTAGGTTTTAAGAAGCCAGTTCAGAGTTAAATTGGTCACTGACTCGAATTGGGATATCATTTTAGTCTTAGTATAGGCTAACTCAATACAAGTTCTTTTTTCTACAAGCAATTAAGTTTCTTCCACTAGCTGACCTTACTATTCACATAGATGTCATACATAAATACATATTTACACACCCACACTCCTTGAGAATAGCTGCTACGTTTGAGGGACAACACCACTCGAGGTGAAAATCCTGAAGTTCGTTACAGCAGCCAGTCTAAAGTCAAACTAGTCAGAGTCGTCGCTGCTAAAATAGGAGCTGTCGCAGTACTCTGCCATGTAAAGGAATTTATGAATGGTTGGGTTCATCTTTGGTATCCAGTGTCTTGGCACCAGAAACGTTGAGAGATTGAACAAGTCCACAAACACCTTGTATCTGTCACTGAAAAAGACAATCAAAACAATTATTACTGTGATAGCAGCATAGAAGGCCGTAATTTCAAAATCCTGAGGAATCATTCCCTCTCTCACACTTATTAAATAAGGCTTCTGCACTAACCCTCCTCCTGAATATTCCAGAGTAAGGAACCAATCCAAACTGTTCTGGGCATAGCAGTTTAGCCTTGAAAAGGAGATACAGTTGCTATAGTCACATATTTCTTCTGAAAATGCAGGTGCATAGGCTATCATCTCTAGGCCTCGACTTTTGTGGTAGATACTCTTTATCTAAAAAGATTGTACAATGGTTGCGATGAGAATCGTTGCCCAGAGCCATGCATGATTTCTTTTTTGAAAACAGACCTCAGATAAGGTCCTCTTAGGACTAAGCGTTCTAAATATCCTTGGGCTTTTTGACATAATGTTGTTCAGGACATTCGAGGCATAGATGCAGCTAAAAGGTTTGAACTAGCTGAATCCTCAAATTTTGTGTAAAAAAAGTTCTGCCCATTCAGAGAGTCCTGTGCTCAAGTCCCAACCCTCCCTTTAAGTTCCTTTTCTTCATCCAACAGAAGGAAACATATTTCTGATTGTTGCCCTGCACGGCTTGAGGATATAAATTACTATCAGCTCTAAGAACATATCCTATCCTAAACTGAAGTACCTTAGGTTGTACAATCAGAGATCATGCTGAGGAATAAAGAAACTGTCATCGATTGCACAGTAGGCAGGTTCACTTCCAGCCTGCATCACCTCATTAACTTGGGCTGGCTTGCACACAAACAAAGCAGTTGCAGGATTTGGAGGCTGGTCACCGCAGTAATGCTGGGTCCCTTGACTGGGAATTACACACAGCACTGTGTGTGAGCGATCAGAACGAGTTCTGTTTGCCCCCAAAGGCCTGGAATTTATAAATGTCAACCTGAGAAGTAAACGCGCAAGAGCCAGGAGGAGGCTCTTCTCAGCGATATCCAATGATAGCACAAGGGCAACGGGTGCAAGCTGGAGCGTAGGAGGTTCCACAGAAATATTAGGAAAAACTTTTTCACTGGGAGGGTGACAGAGCACTGGCACAGGCTGCCCAGGGAGGTTGTGGAGTCTCCTTCTCCAGAAACATTCAAAATCTGACGGGACGCGTTCCTGTGTGACCTATTGTGGGTGATCCTGCTCTGGCAGGGGGCTGGACTAGGTGATTTTTCAAGGTCCCTTCCTACTCTGTGATTCTATGACAAGCTAGAGTCCGGAGAGAGCAACAACAGCCCTCTGGTCTCCAACCAGCTTTCTGAAGTCCGTCTGCTGGCATTAGAGCATCTACGAATCACATTACTGTGGGTAATGGGGGAAACCTGTTATTCTTACCTCACTGTTGAGCGCAAATACTGGTAACCTGATGAGCCTCCGGTGCCAGCCTTGCTACCTATCATTCTGTGCACCATGCAGACGTGGTTATCTAAGTAATATGAAAGAAGGAGAGGGTTTAGTTTCCATGTTACAATGGGTCACGTCGAGGTGCACTGCTGAAATATTAAAGATCATTCGGAGATCTTTACAGAGATATGGAACTGCTAGGTCTTCAGCAATGCAGGAGTTAATTATGCCTCTCATTGTCAATACAGAATGAATACAGTAATTATTGTACATTATTATGCTTGTTAGTACAGAATTAATACATGAATTTATGGATGTCTAGATAAGGAAGGAACAGAAGGTTTGCATATGAAGAGATGTCATGACAACATTTTGTGAGACATTGGAAAATATGTACCTGTCCCTTAAAAAAAATTGTTCACCAAACTCACATTATGTCATAGAAGGCACAGCTATACCTATGTATCTAATGATCACAGAGGAATCTTTCTTCTTTGTCAAAGTACAAACTTAAAACCGTAATTTCTAAAAGGATGAACTCAGAGGCTCAATTCTAAAACTCTAGGTGTAACTTGTGTAAAAGAGAGTGAGACACTTGAGTCTAAAGAGCGAGTGTCACAGTCAAAAAGTGAACCTTACATCTCCATTTGGTCATGAGCACATCGATGTCCATAAGGGAGGTCAGAAGCTGAAAGGGAATCTGAAAACGAGGCTCCTCCCTTGGAAAATGAAAGAGAAGACAGTGAGACCTCTCATGATACGCTGTATTTTTCAAAGTAGGACTTTACCGATGCATAATAGTGAGTTAATGTATATTTGTCCTTAATTAGTATTGAAATGTCAGTAAATATTCTAACAAGTGCTTCTGCCGTGTAAATCTCTGTGCATTTTCCCTTCATACTTGGCAAAATACTTTAAAAATCATTCCAGGACACTGCGTAGAATAGTTTGAACAAGGCATTTGCTAGTTTCAGCCTGAGAAGCAGCAGCTGCTCAGGCCTGAAGTGGCTGCCCAGGGAAGCCGTGTAACCTCCACCCTTGAAAATACTCAAGATGCGTCCCTGAGGAGCCTGATCTGACCTTCAAGTTGGATCTAACTAATCTGGCTTTTTGTGGAGGGTTGGACTAGCTTACTTTCCAAGGCCCATATCAACATAAATAAACTCGTGCTGCTCTCCTTCACCTTCAGCTGCCCTCCTTCACCTTCAGCTGCCCTCCCACCAGTAAGCATTAAAGATACCTGTTCTAATATAAAAATGACAAGGAAGTTAGAGAAATTACTGTTCTAACATCACCTGTAGAAGTAGATCATTAAGGCACCCTTCAGCGCTTTGTAAGAGAGTCGTCTTTCTCCTGCAAAATACAAGCATCCATAGTTCCTTCAAGTTCTTCAAATTTGTGTCATGTGTAAGAAAATAAAAAGTGCATATTGACATATATTAATACAATCTACCTTTACTAAGCAGGTGTTCATGGCGTTTTTCATCAAATAATGAAAGTAATACATCCTTCTGTTTTTGGAATTCAGATAATAAGTCATCTTTTTCTTCTGATTCTGGTTTGGCCTTTGATATTTAAAACAAAAAACAGGTTATAGAACCCAGTAGGGAAAATTAAGCACTTGAATGACCCATTATGTAGCTTCTATTTTTATCATAAATACTCTAAGTTTACATCTTAATTGTAAGAGCTGTATTTTCGAACAAGATAGATGAGTCCCTGAGTCCCTGTCCTTGAAAAATCATAATTGCCACAAAATGTATAACTAAATAGCTGTCAACACAATTAAGATTAATGAATGTTCAAAAAAAAAATGGCAGGTTATCACTTTTCTTTTGGTCTAGAGGCCTTGAAAATGCTTATTTTCAGTTTGTTTGTAGTCTGATTATTACCTTGAAAAAAAATAATCTTTTTTCAAGGCAAAATAAAGAAATTCTTGCACAGCTATGGCTAAGAAAGTTGTAAATAAAAAGTTTAGATAAACTAGGAAATCATAAACAGATGTTGTCAAGCAATTGGATAATTCTTGTGTTAACGTTGTGCTTTCCATTCAAAAGGTACTTAAAGCTACAGGTCTTACAATAATCTGGGATTTTCTTGTGCTTATTTGCCAGCATAATTCAAACTAAAGCAGGAAACTTCCACATGCTTTTAAACAGAAATGGGCTGTTTATAGCGATGCTCCACACTCACAGCTCAGGGGCCTAAACTTTATGTTTACGCTGAACTGTAGATGCAAGTATGAACCGAAGGTGAACTTGTAGTTTCAGTAAAATAATTTTCAGTCCTTCCATTGATGCTACCCCTTTCCATTTGCAATCAAAATCATCCATGTATCACAGGATTTAAACTGTCTTAGATGTCAAATTACAAACTTCCTCCAATTTCCTGAAGAATTTGCCATTTTTTCTGCTTCTTGCAGTGAGAGGAGGAATGAGAAACTGTGAGTGAGCCAAAGGCAAACTGATGTCTGGATGTCATTTTGCCAGCGGTCTTGGCTTATAGGTGGATCACGAATACACTATATACCTGCAACAAGGCAAATTCCTCTTCAAGACCTTTTAAAACATTCACTTCAAATTGTCCCCAGAAATCAAATCCTTTAGCATCGAGTCCCGGAGTTCTTTCCAGCCATGCCTTTAACAATAATAATGTGTTCAGACATTAAAATTGCAAGCTTATTACCCTAGAATTACAAGGTATAGCAACAGAAATTATACTGCTACAGTTGTTCTGGTTTCATATCCCATGGAGGTGCTTATTGCTGGAGTAAGCATGCCCACCTGGGTGATTTATACCTGCATAGTGGTGCCGTGCAAACACACCCACAGGTTCCAGGCTAAATGACCAGTGTTGGAAGATAAAAGCTGTCTCATTCTATGAGTATCTTTAAAACCAATTCCCTTGTAGATACAGGAAAACAATCTTATTCCACATATATAGGATAATCGTAAAGATAAGTCTCAGAGGGAAGATACAGAACCATCTATACAACCACTTTTTACCATGTCAGACAGGCTGCATACTGATTAGGCAGCCTGTTATTAACTTACACCCCAATATGTGATGATGCAGGACAGAAAATTCCTTGGCAGTTTGCAAAGATTTCTCTTTGATTTCCTTCTAATCATGGAAATGAAATTAGGAGGAAAAAATAATTAGGAATCTTTACGGTCAAATTCCCTTTAGAGATCACTTAATTTAGCTCCTCATCTGAAAGATGCAAGAGCACAAAGCCTTAACAAATTAAGAAAAGCTAGATAAATTTCTTATATATTCTGTAGCAGGTGTCATTACACACATGGATAGGGCTTATAAAAGTGAATGCTTTTATGGAGGTTTATACTGCATTGCACTCTAGAAAGTTATGTTTATACTGTGTATGAGTTAGAGAAATTACTGTGAATTATTCACAATTCTGAAACAAAGTCATTAAATCAAGGTAAATCATAAAGAACCATTTGTTAAACATCTTTTCTCCTTTCCATTTGGGGTTATCATTTTTCCTTTTATTTTTTAACACCTCTAAGAGCCATCACTAACAGTGGAAATCTTCTTAATGTTTTCTTCTAAAAAAGGGTCATGGTCACAAAGAACAATGTGAATAAAAGAGTACATTTGTATTCTTAGCTCATACTTCCACGATACAATTTACTACTTTAACAGTCTGACTTCTCAGACAAGAGGAAATGCTCTGAAAAACAGTTTACTAATCACTAATGCTCTTTTGTACAAAACAACAAATTATTGGGAATTTGCCAGCATGCTTGTTTCGCTCAAGGAAGCATTGGTATCACTGACACCAGTGAAGGACATTCTTGGAAGATGGGGGAAAACAAGCAATGTCTAAGACAAACGTTGTTACCTCCACAAGTTGCAGTAGTGTTGGTTCTTGCTCTGATTTGAGCAGTAGTTCATAATCCTGTCCCTTGAAGTTATCACGATAGTGCCTTCTATTATAAGGGACTCTCAGACTTTGGGGAACACCGATTTTGTTCTCTAGCAAGCGAAACTGCAGGCTCTGAAAACCTGAGGCTGGGCTTAGGTAGTATCTTCAGGAACAGAGGAAAAGAAGATATGGAAATGCAGGATATTATTGTACAGTGATGGGGTTTTCTGCTTCTCAACAATAGTAAAAAAATATATTTCACATTTAAAGAATATCAAATAGGTATCTGAGGTTTTTTATGTGATTGCAGTTAAGAAAAATAGACTATTTTAATTCAACTACAATGTATATATATTTTCTAATTTTCTAGCTATATATTATTTGTGCCTATACAGATATATACACACTTATGTTTGTGCTCTGTTTTAAAATGGCAGCTTTGCATGTGTGATGTGCAGGAAGAAATGTTCATGAATGTAATTTCCTCCCTAGACAGAATAATCAGCTTCACTCCAAATAGCAATTACAAAAATTTCCACATCATTAAAGTGACAATGAATGTGTTTTAAATAAGCTTGTTACACAGAATAATTGCTATGTATGCAAGAGAATAACGTTCAGGAAAACATTTAGCGGGTTTTCTCTGACGGATTTGTTAAAGAGATTCTTTCGAAGTTAAATCATGTGGCCATGCTAAAAAAAATTATTAATAGCAGTAATCTGAAATCTCGCCATTGCAAGATAATCGTAACTCTCTTAGAATTTCAAGTGGAAGGTCTGGCAGAAACGGATAATTGATTTGGTCTTATGGTTGCTTGTCAAAGGACAGCATGTTCCTGAACAGAAGCAGCAAGAATGTGCAGAAACAGGTGATTAGTCCACGGACTTTCCCTGCTGTAGCGTAATGCTAGACAGTACAGAGGTTTCTGCCTTCCAAGAGGGGCGAAATTGTAGTTTCATGTGCTTTTTTACTTAGAGAACAGTAAAAGACAGAGAGGAAAGGGTACTAAAACAATGCAGAACTGGATGGGATGCTGGATGGCACTGCAGGTACGAGTCACAAGGGTCAGTGACAAGAGCAGGACAACAACAGAAAGGCAGACAGTGGATGAAGCTGTCCCACACGGTGGTGTAGTGGAGGGACCTAGCTGAGAAGTGAGGGAAGCCAAGGGATCCCAAAGAAAGTCTGGGGAGAAGGCAGAAGAGCTACCAACCATGTGGCCCAGCAACACATTGGGCAGCTACTGAGGAGAAGTTATTAAGGGAAAGAAGAGACAGCACTTGAAGCCTCCACCACTGCAGACCCACTGACAACACGAAGCAAGGAAACACTATGCAAACCACAACAGCCGATATTCCTGCCTGATATTCCAAGGAGAGTGTATTTCTCCTACCCAAGCACTTCTGTGATTTGCCACAGATTATGGCTGCAAATCACAGTGCTAAATTTACTTAATTTACTAATTGTTAACGGAACCCTGAGCTATTTCTGTTGTTTCTATTGTTTTACCTTTTTACTCTGAAACCGTTTAGCATAATGGTTTGAAATATTGTTGAAATATTAAATGTAAACATCAACAATGAATTTGTACTGCTCTGGAGGGCATGCTGGGTGCATATGCTCAACTTCTTAGTTGACCCTGGCTCTCCAATGTCACAGTTGCTGCTCTAAGGTCTGCTCTCCCCTTGCTAAATGATACACGTGCTCCAAGCTGCCAGGGCACATGCAAAATTCACGACGTGTTCTAAGAATGGGAATTACCAGCTCATGGATTACTGTGGCGGAATAGTAAGCATTTACCTGAAATCAAAGAAGTCCAATGCAGTCATGGTTTCCAAAATTGAGAACTGATCCACAAGTAATTTCAGAATCATGGAAATCCTGTTCATTCGAGTAATAACCTTCAGCATGTTCCTCTCATCTCTTACCTGCAGGGGGAAAAAAAAAAAAAGTAACCAGACAGAATAATAGTGTTCTCCTTATATCCTGCCTATTTATTTCAGGTCTTTCACTGTTGTACATCACTATAGTTCCCAAGTTCTTTCCACATGAAATCCCTAGCAGCATAATCTCATATCGAATAGAGAGCTTGGTTTTAATTTAAGACAAAAATTATAATTTTCAAAGAGTGAACTCTTTCTCGGACTGATGATATATTACAATTCGGTCAAATATATATGATTATTTTCTCTTTGCTAAATTTTTGACTAAAATAGAAGACACCACAAGAAATCAAAATCTAGACCAAAATAATTTATATCATGAACATTTCCAATGATTACAGTATTATTTTAATAATATATGATATAATATGATAATTTTATTATGCTTTCTATTATAATCACTTCTATAATAATTTCCATTATTGTGAAGGAACAAATCATAAGGCAGGTGTGAAAAGTACTTGAAAGTTATTAAGCAGAGTAATCTGAGAGGTACATCAGGAGAGTATATCTAAAAAGTTGTTCATCAGAGATGTGCATTAGCAAGCAGAGGAAAATAGAGAAGACTGCATCTAGTGGGAAATGCAAAACACAGAAACTCTCTTCTGGCTAAATCGAACACTTTGCCTGCACTGGAGTCTGCTAAGATTTGTGTTAGTTTCAGTAGGATTGAACTTTTCTCTAAGACCTGCAAAATATCAAACTACAAAAATGAAAGATGAGAATGATTTTCTTAATCATCTGGCTGTGTGTACTTAACCTTAACATTGACATTTCAAATTTAGATTACCAACAAAGTTTCATTTTTCACAAAAATAATAAAGAAAAATTATTCTAATTAAAAACTGATTTTGATCAGTTATAACTTGAAGTAAAGTTCAACTAAAAAGCCAACAAAATTATGAATGTCAGGGATGACAGAGAATATTTTCATTGGACATTATGATAAAAAGGTTCCTTCTTTCAGTCTGGTCTAGTTTCAAATTTTCTCCATATACCCATGCTTATGATGTTATTCAAGGTATTTCTCAAATGATGTGCAGTCAGCCTTTTTCTGTGGATATAGTATCCGGTCAGGAGGTTTCCTTTGTTATCTGTTATTAGGAGGTGTGTTTAGCTTTGGACACATGTTTAGAGATGCTCAAAACATTCCTATTATATTAATAACTTTCAGAAATTCTCATACAATTGTTCAGTGTGATTTTGATTATTGCATTTCTCATGGATTTAATAATGCACAACTGCCAGAAAGAGTCTTCCTTTTGTAAAACAGATATTAGATGTAAGGATATAGTATGAAGACTTCAGAGAACTGAACAAAGGCAGAAGTGACTTTTCAACATGGAAACACCTGTGAGCCCTTTTGTTTTTCAGTTTTGCCTCTGAGCATGCTCTTTCTGCAGGAGAACATTCCCAAGTTAAGCTTCTGCTTTTATCCAGTACTAGTAGGGTTTGGGCCAATAGATGTGGTGTTGGAGAGTGATCTATGCAAAAGGCAGACGTTGGGAGGAAATAAGATTTTGCTGATCAAATGTCTACACTATCAGGACGTAAGAGCCACTCAGCCAAATTTCATTGGTTTTGGAGGCGAGTTTTTTTATGTTCTTTTAAAAAAGAGCATGTGTTGCTTTAGTAAACTCAAATGTATCAAGCTGGAAGGCAAGAGAAAAAGAGGGCCGCATTTTCCCAAAATTAATATTTACTTTTAACTTACGTGGCCATTTTGAAAGATCACCCGCACAGAGTCCATTTCCCACAGAATCTGCTTAAACCAAAGTTCATAAGCTACAAGAAGAAAGGCTTCATTATAATTAATTTCAACACTGCTTTATTTTTTTCTTCATAGCACTGAAGAGGCAAAACTCTTGCATTTTGATTTGAAATGTATAGGCTACCTTCACTCTGCTGGTGTGCAAAAAGATACCAATACACAAGCATGTTACCTGTTACAGTATATGTTGTCCTTTACCTAAGCTATTACGTGAAATAATCCGGCATAGAGAACATTGACAAAAATTTTTAAAGCACATTTTATACATCAGATATTTGGTGTACAGAATTTTTATTACTAAGAAGGAAAGAAAAAAAAATCTAGATCTGGTACTCCAATAAAAGCTAACTCCAGAGCTGCTTACGCTTTTTGTGTCACCTACGTGTTTCCTGTCAATAACAGGAAAATATCATTCCAGTGCCTGCAAAACACATGGATATTAGCAGTTACAGAGCACCTAACAAGTATACTGGCTTCTATACAGCCTCTAAATTAGGTTAAAATTAGATTGACGCTCCAGAGAAGTCAGAAGCCAACACACAAAATTTCCCTACCAAAACCTGCATAGGAACGTATTACTTTGATGCAGAATGAATTTCACCACCTTAATTTTTCTAGAAACAGAACCATCCAAACCTTGAGTTACCAAATCCAAAGATTATACTTACGGCTTCCTAAGCATAGAGTTGATTAGAGCCTTACAAATGATATAGGGATATCTACAAATATAAATGCAGATAAAAGACAGAGAAATTATAGTGATTGTGTCTAAAATGAAAAAAAAAATTGTGTATTGCCTGTTAGGGCATTGAATAACTCCCCGTGGTAAAAATGCTGGTCAGCCACCACTGAACTCCCAACTACTTACCTTGATGTGTCACAATGAAAAGATGCTCATCATGTATTTTGTTTCCTTTCTTCTCACTCTCAAGTTCTTGAGCATTCAGTATTTTGTTCAGCTTAAAAAAAAAGATAAGACTATTATGTAAAGCTCTCAATTCTGCTACTAGCACTGGTAGTCCTACCGTGTAGGGCTAAATTTTGAGGATAATATTTTAAAAAGAAAGA